TAATCTGTGATTGCATCAGGTTGGGCATCTGAAGCTAAATGAACCCCATCCTCTTGAAAAAGTCAGAAAAATGACATCATGCAAATAGAAAGCAATGAATAAAAATTCAACCTCTGACCAGAGATGTTCCAAATGCCTCTCAGTTCTGGCGAAGAAATTTCTTATGTTTTCACTGAAGCTAAGTTTCGTAAAAATATGACACTTTTGGCATCAAATGACAGCACAGTTGCTCAACAAATTGGAGTTTCTGCAATAGCTGGCACAGATGTTTCCCCTCAAGGAACTATTCGTCTGGCTCAAGCAAAAGGTGGAGGAGCTTTATCTGTCACCCCAGGTAAAAATGACCTTATTATAGTTTAATTAAATGTGTTAAATTTTATTAGTTCTCAATGCCAGAATTATTTAATCAATAATTAACCAAAATGTGGTTAATCCTTGAGAAAAGTCAATTACTTTAATTGTGACAACCTGTAAAACTTAAATAAAATTGTCAAAATATTTACTAATAGATCCTTTAAGTGCAAGAAGACTCTTTGGATTAACATCCTTAGTTACTGCAGGGGATCTTGTTCAAGTGCAAATCAATACTGGATTGTCAAACACAAACGTGAAAAAGTTAGCGACAACTTTAAACCAATTTTAAGCAGTCCGAATTTCTTAGCCAAACATTCGCTCCAAATTTTTTGCATTAGGTAAATCACTTGCCGGATTTTTTGATCAAACAGATATTCTACCTGAACAAGGCAATGGAGTTATTGGCAAGAAACTTGTAGTTCACTGTAAAAATCTGCAAGAACTGATAAATGAAGTTCTGTTGTCACGAAAAGTCTTTACGAAGCCACTAATCAAACTTGAAATTGATTTTGGTGGTGGGTTTCTGAAAGTCACACTGGGAGCTATTGAGAAAATGGCTTGTCAAAAGATAATCCTCCTCCATGTAAAAAAAAACTTGACTACAAACTCTACCAAAGATAGTGGCTGCAATTGTCAGCTTATTATTGCAGTTGCTGAAGATTTATCTGAAACCTGAATTTGAATGTCCAAAATGTTCTGTCTCTCATCAAGCCTAACCCTAAGGATTTTGTTGTTTCTTATAATCTGAAGCTGACCAACATCCTCTGTGGACTTCAGTCTCACTCATCATCACATCCTTGCACGTGGTGTGATGTCCTATCAAATAAACTTGCACAATCTGGAAATCTTTGCACCTTTGGGTCTCTCAAATCATCCTGTCAAGCTTTTAATGCTGCAGGACGTGACATGAAAAAGGTAAAAGAATTCAGAAATTTGGTTCATCCTCTATTACTTGCTTTGGATGATGAGCAATTGGTTTTGGACCTAATTCCACCTATGGAATTGCATCTACTGCTTGGAGTTGTCAATCACCTCTTCAAAATTTTGAAGTCAATGTGACCGCATGCTGAAAAGTGGCTAGATGCTCTTCTTATAAAACAACAAACTTTCTACGGAGGACAATTCGCTGGAAATAATTGTCACAAGTTTCTGAATAACCTGGATTTCTTGCAAAATCTTGCAGAGAAAACCTCCTTAATTTATATTTGTCCCATTATCAACACTTTCCGGAAATGTGTTTGGTTTGGGTCCACATTATCTTCTGATTTCTCTGAAAAAATTGACTTATTCAGAGAAGCATATATGGCAATGCCATCTAGAAGCGTGACTCCAAAAGTGCATACAGTATTTTTTCATGTGAAGGACTTCATCCAAAAGAAAAATACTGCTTTGGGAATCTTCAGTGAACAAACGACAGAAGCTATGCACCATAACTTTCACCAACACTGGCAAAGATACAAAAGACCATCCAGAATATGGAAGGCAACTTCAAACATGCATAGTTGACTTTAACAGCAAGCATCTTTAAAGGCAGTTTTGAAACAGGAGCAGAAGACTTATTTCAAGAATTAAAAAAGTTTTGCATTACTTTTGTTACAGTCTTTTTGTTAGAATATATTAATGTTTATTTTTATCAAGCCAGTGCTGTGCAATGAATAAATACATATGATATCATTGAAGAAATAAAATTATCACTAACTTAAATTTTTAGATGCTGTAAAAATGCAAAAAAAGGGTATGCTGTCATTTGTCTAGCTGCTGTAATACAATAAAAATAAAAAATCAATTTATTTTCTAAGACAATGTAGTTGGATTTCAAATTTAAAAATTTTAAAACTCTGACATCAAGAACTTTCATTGCACCCAGCCATTTCTCTGGGTCAGCTATATACAGTTATCATGAGTTCTGGCTGGGGTGACGTCATTAATTGTCATTAATTTGAATGCATTTAAAAGAAGAAAAAAAAGTAATAGTTTATTAAATCTAAAGAACGAACATTGAGATGAATTAAAGAAGATAATTTAAAAGGAATTTTTTTTTTTTTTTAAAAACTGATAATGTTTAACAACTAAAAATAACTGAGAACTTAAATAAATTTATAACCGGTATAAAAACACAAAATACACAATACTTCGAAAAACGCAATAGAAAGTTAATTAAATGGATCCTCTTACCGAAATAAAAAATTACCAATATGACAATTTGTTATCTACCAATCCTCTTACCAAAATAAAATTTTATAAGTGCAGCTAATTTCAGAGGTGGTAAACATTTCATAAATGCTACAAATTTTAGAGATCGAAAGAATCAATAGTCAACACAAACAAGTTATAAAGAAAAAAAATGTAAACTGTGTTATTAAAATATATTAAATAAAAACTTAAAAAGAAAAGAAAAAAGAAACTAATACCCCATTTATACTGACGATAAACATGTTTTATTTTTAACGCGATTTAGTTTTAATTTTATAAACTGTATACACAGCTTTAAAACAACATTGTGAAGTTGTTTTATATTAACACAAGCTTTCTATACTGACAATACTACCTCACAATATTTCGTTGCTCACAGTACTTAATTATTATTACTTTATACAGCTTTTAACAACAACAATTTTAAAATTAAACATGTTTTTTCTTCAGTATGAACGAGGTATAACGCTTAACTTTGTTAAAAACTAGCAATAACTCTTATAATGCATTTAGACTTTAAACGTTACAAATATTCTTATTAGAAGCATTTTTTTTGTAATTTAAAGTTAAAGATTTAAATGATATTTAATTTGTACTGCTTATTTAACGAAGTTTTAGTTTGCAACTGCTACGATCAGTATTCGTGCGCAATTATAAAAGTTTAAACTAAGAAAAAAATCATAGATAAAAAACTGTAAAGAAATATTTCAAATATGTTCAAATACAATAACGAACTGCAGAATTAATAAATATATATGTTAAAAACATATTTATTGCATTAGTTTAAATAAGTTAGTATTAACTGATAAAAACTTTTTAAAGTATCATCCAAATAGAAAATTTTTAAAAATCAGAAAAATTTAACTTTTGGGGACCTTAGTTACAGACTGTCTTATTTGTCTTATTGCACTACATGCAATAAATAATTGAAATTTTGAAAAAAATAAGAAATATAGGAAGTTTGCATATGTTGAGCATGTTAACAGTGAATTGTTTTATCGTTGCCGAAATATCATTATATTTATATTTATTTTTGCAGATTATCATAATTTAATCTTTTATCTTAAAGAATATAAATTAATAGCTCAATTAAAAAAAAATCTTTATACCAAAAATTGCGTTATTTTCAACACACCCAATCATCTCATCTTAGCAAACCAGTTTCCTAAGATAAGCTTTTTTTAATGGAACTCAAAAAATTTCTAAAAAAGTTAGCGATACTATTTTTTGAAAAAACTTTCGCTCTTGAAATACCAAAATAAAGCTCCGCTGAGAATCACTTTAGAAAAACGCGCTTTTCTTAATAAAAAGCCGCATCTTATCTTGAGCCTCTAAAAATGTTTCATCTTAAGCAACTTCTCTAAGTACTATCATAATTTAAATAGCATGACAACTGCTTATGTATTATCTCATATAACATGGAATTAGAAGTAGATAAGCATAAAAAATTGATTATGTAATAAAATTTTTGATGATCTTACTTCGTTCTGACGTAATCACAAAACTTTGAAAAATAAAAAATTATAACGGGGATGGTAAACTTTTTTTACATTTAAACAATCAAAGAATATTAATTATACGAACAAGAAATTAAAATAAATAACAACGTCGAACTTGTATGAATATCCTTAACCAAAAAAGTTCCCGAAAAAATCATTAGTCTACCCGTAAAAGAGGTTGTACCATGTTAGAAACCTTTTCATCTTACGCAATCTTCCCCTACTTGAATTGTTATAATATTATATTATAAATGTTATATTATCATTCATGTATATGCACCAACTTACTTTAAGATTAGGAAGTTCGACATTTATATGAAATCATAGTTATCGAGTCTCATGGCTTATGTTTTCCTTGTTAAGATTTAACAAGTCAATACTATGAACACTTCAAAATAATTACAAATGCAGTGGTACAAATTATGTTATTTGTCATTTTGACTTTATTTATAGACTTTAAGTCTTTATTCTTACGCTAAGGTCTCTAAATTAAAAGTTGTTTAAAAAATAAAAAAGCTTTTTATAACTGAAAAAGTCCAATAAAAGCAGTTGATAAAATTCTTAAAAGTCATTTTATATACACGTAAAGAACGAAATGCTACAAACTTGTATTTAAAGTAAAAAGATTTTGTTTATAAATATACATGAATTTTATTTTTGCAAATTATATACCACTTTATATATATATATGTATATATATATATATATATATATATATATATATATATATATATATATATATATATATATATATATATATATATATATATATATATATATATATATATATATATATATATATATATATATATATATATATATATATATATATATATATATATATATATATATATATATATATATATATATATATATATATATATATGCAAATATATATATATGCTAATGTTGTTAGTGCTGTGGGTTAAAGACCTATACTCCCCCCCCCAAAAAAAAAAAAAAAAAAACTATTAAGGCCATTTTCTCAAAAAATATTCCACTACCCATCACAAAACAAATTTCAAATGATGCGTATAAGATGTAGATATTCATAGAAACATTTCCAATTATGTCAAGTTTCACTGAAAAATAGCTGGCATGCTTTTATTTTAAAACATTTTTCTTTACTTATAATGAAAGGTTTCCAGTTATTTAGGTTTATTTTAATAACATTGTTCCTATGTGTACGTCCGTATATAACTGCAGTGCTTGAATCGTATCCAATTACATCCAAATATTGAATTGAAAAAACTGAAAAATTAAAAAGAAAAAAAATATTATACATGTTTTAAAAGTACTAACAAAAAAACAAAGAAAAACAGCTAAAAACAAAATATTAAAAGATAATAGTGAAATGAAAGTTTAATTTTTTTGTTTTTAAAGTTTTATTTTGTTGTTTATAAAAGAATATAAACAAGTTATTATATTAAATTCTCTAACTAATTTATAATCCATAAATAAATTAATAATTTAGGCTTGTACAAAACTATAACCCTAACTTTTTTCCTAAAAACTATTTTGCTAAATATTTTTAATTAAATTTTCTTTCTTTTTCTATACAAGCTGTTTACAAGGTAAGGGTTTGATTTAGAAGTCCTTTATGCATTAATTTTTTTACAAAAAAAAAAACAAAAAAAAAAAAACAATAAACAAACACAAAAAAAATTAAATTTTGTCTCAATAAAGTTTTTAGTTATTTTTATAGTTTAAGTAAGGACAAAATTTATTGATTTTTTTGTTTTGTAATTAAAAATAAAAGCTATAGTCTACTTAATCGCAAGCTCCATCTAGGAAGCTTGTAAAACAGCTTTTGGGTAACCAATAGATTTTTTGTATTCTCATCTTGATTCACTAAAGCAATTTCTGCTGGTCCGAACAAATAATCTAATTCCTTAAAATTATTAATCGAAGCTAAACAAAACTTTGTATAGTTATTTTTTTTTATTTCATTATTATCATAAATAATCTCATTATTACTGTTATGATTATTTTTACTATTATTATTATTATTATTATTATTATTTTTGTTGTTATATATAGCACATTTTAAGCAAGATTTTTTTTCTCTATTTGTAATTACATTGTTTGTGTTTTGTTTATTGATTTTTGTTTAAAATAATTATTTACAACCGGTTTTTATATTTATTAGCAACTTGTTTTATATTTATATTTTTATGTTTTGTATTCAGCAACTTTTACAACTAATACTTATTAATTTTAGCTAATATTACCAATATAAATCTTTTATATAAAAAACACTTTTTTTTTATACTTTTAAAAGAATGAAAAACAACTGTTAAAAGATGAATTTTCAAAAAAAAAAATAAATCAACATAAACATGCTTACAATTCATAAAATAGTTAATAAATACTTACATCTAATTTTTCCTGTTGATGTTTCACGCTGATAGCAAGGACTTGGTTGTCTAACAAAAACAAACTTTTATTAAAAAAACATGTATGAACAGTAAAAACTTAAAATCATTGTTCATAAAAAAATGGCAAAAATGTAATTATTCAAAATATGTTATCACATGGCGCTTTTTGAGTAACAGGCAAAATTAAAAAAAAAATGACACGCAAAATTTAGAAAAAAATGTGGAGGTTAATACTAACTTCTATAAAATGGAGGCAGACTAAAAAAGTTTGGTTGATTCTTTGATGTTTCTACTATACTTAGTCTGTTTAAAAAAGGGTGCAAAAATGCTGTGTTAATAGCTGTTCTACGAATTGCTTATCACAGAAAAAAAAGTCTTGCTAAATATCTTGAATAAATATAATAAATATAAATAAATATAGTAAATATAATAAATATAAAAAAATATAACAAATATAAACAAATATAATAAATATAAAAAATATAATAATATATTTATTATATTTTTTTATTAATAAATTAATAAAAATATATATAAATTATTATAATAAATACAAATAAATATCTTGAAAAAACAAGGGACTTGGTGATAAGGCAAAACCGGTCTTCTTCTCATCCTTGCCATTTTTATATATATCATAAAACACGAGCTTGTAAATATTTGCACGGCAAAGTCAAAAAAATCTAAAATGTCAAAATATAGATTTCCAAGGAGACGAAGAAGAGAAATTTTTTTGGATAAATTGCGTTTTTAATGCAAATTTAAAAGTGACAAGCAACACTGTTGTATGTTTGAAAATACTTATGAAAAAGTCAAAGTAAAAGGAGGAGAAAGATCAAAAAATCTAATGTCATTTTACGTAAAATACCAATATCTATCAAGACTTTTTTGTGATACATTGTTAAATAAAATTTTTTTCTGTTGAAATTATAGCCTTTATTTCAGATAAACTTCAGGTAAACTTTGTGTGCAATCCACTAACTTTATTAATTATGCAACACCTGAATTTCTTATTTAATTTGATACCTGTTTAAAGCTTGAATCATATTTCAATTTGATAGCTATTTAAAATTTGAATCTTATTTAAATGGTGTGAAAAAAAAAGTACATATTGCATCTAATCATAGCCTACTATAATTACACGGCCAGATATCTTGCTTTTTGCAGCGAAAAATTAGAAGGGTAACTTTTCAAAAACATAAATATATCGCATAGATTGTGGCATGATTAGCCACACCTACCGCAATTAAAATTTAAATATTTATACTTTTTTGGTTTACAGAAGTGTGTATATAATATAAAATTTGTTGGACAAATATAACTGAAGTCTCAAAAATTAGACATTTTTCTTTGCCTGATAATGTTTCTAAAAACTTAAGAATAAGAGAGTATTATATTGTACTTTTTTCATCAATATAAAATTGTAATAATTTTATTAATAATAAAATAAATATATTTGTAATGACTTTATTAATTTGAAGATAAACCTCATATGGTATACATATATATATATATATATATATATATATATATATATATATATATATATATATATATATATATATATATATATATATATATATATATATATATATATATATATATATATATATATATATATATATATATATATATATATATATATATATAAATATATATATTATGAACAATATTATGTACTATTATAACTATTACTATTAAATATAGTTACAAAGGCCGCGTCCCGATGGGAAATCGGCGAGCGAATAGCTAGCTATAATCGTGACGGTTAAGACAGCAATTTGGCCACGAGGATTGCTAGCTTTTTTAAGTTAACGAAAAGCTGTTAATATTTGTAAAGATAAAGACAGCGATTTGGCTACGAGGATAGCTAGCTTAATAAGCTAAATACTAATAGGCTATTGTAACTATCGTCATATCGTAACAAAATTGCTATCAAAAAAATTTTAGTATGTAGCTATCAACCAGCTATAGATTTGTAGATATTTTTAGCTAGCTACAAAGCTATGATATGTAGCTAGCGACACATTGCTATAAATTCACAATGTTTAAAGTTCAATTATTCTTATAATTATATTAGACTCAACACTAAAAATTGAATTTAAAAGATGTTAAAGACGATAGTAAAGGATGAAATAAGAAAAAAAAAATCGCTTGAAAATCGCTATAAAGCTAGCTAGTCGCTCGCTAGTCGCTAGTTCATTTCCCACCGGGGTGATTAATCAAACCAAACTGTTCTTTTTTTTTTTTTTTTTTATAACATCTTCGCTTCCAACAAGGCTGCAAGCAACCACTAATTAGTGTTGGAAGTTACTGGAAGAGAAAAGATGAAAATTGTAGAGCAAGATAACGATTGACAGACGACTTAAAAGATTGCAAATTATATGATTCAGGAAAGCAAGATGAAGGAAGCGAATTCCAAAGAACTGGTGTTCGAGGAAAAAAACTAGACTAATAAGAGTTTTTGGAGCACTTACACGCTTAAAAATAGTGTTGAGCCGTAGGCTACATTATGTCGCGTAGAATACAACAATGAGTGTCGACGCCGGCTACACCAACACTATGTGGCTTTAAAAGCCACACTCAGTGTTGCATTCGTAAGGCTACATAAAATGTAGACTTGAAAGCCACACTTTGTGGCCTTTAATGCGACACTTTTGTAGAAATTTTTTCGACATAATTGTTGCATTTAATCAATGGCTGTATATAAATGCTCTTTTTGCGCGACAAAACTGTTGTAAAAAAACCTCAAAATTAGTGTTGCGCTAGATGTAACACTATAGTTTAAACACTAATCTGTGTTTTTCTAGACGTTAAAAATGTTTTGATTTTTTGTAAGTATATTTATGCGTGATTTATTCCGCCCATTTAGGTCTTCATGTACTATGTATATAACCGGGTGCAATTAAATAATTCAAATAAAGAATGCTATTTATATCATATAATAAATTACACATTGTCATTTAGAGTCATACTAAATTACACATGTATATTATATTGGCTTACAAGAAATAACGGAACGATATCACAATAAAATAATAAAAACTGAAATATAAATTTTATTTTAATTCCGAGTCAATACATTGTTATAGTATTTCTTTTAAGTATATAAACTCAGTTCAAACTCAAACTCAATTCAGTGAATACTAAATTAAAAACAAGTCTTAAAACATTTATATGCAAAAGCGAGTTAAAACCTTGAAAAATAGATACCGCCGTCAGAGAAGAATCGTATATCAACATTTTGTGTTTTTTTTTTTGTCCATTATCAATAAATATTCAGGAGTGTGTGTTTCATAAATATACCACAACAATAAAATTTTAGAAAATATTTAAATAATCAGTCGAATTTTCTGGAAGAAAGACTTTGCAAATTAAAATTTGAAACTTGATTTTCTTGGAAACACAAAAAAAAAGACATACGGTCTCTTGGTTCTCGGCTGACGATATAACAAAAATAAACAAGAAAGTGATAAAAATACTTTTTCGTTTCACAAACATATTGCTTAATTTAATCTTAAACTTTTGGCAATACTTTCTTTAAAAGGAATTGACGATAATTCTTTTGTTGTTTATTCCAAGCAAATTTCCCATAAATCTATATACACAAATAAGTTCATGAGGAAAATTGACATTAAATACATAATAAGAGACTAGCTGCAACTCAAAAGCAAATCTAATACTCGGTATGGCTTTCAACCGTATAGCTGTATTATCGACTTATAATTAGAGTTATAATTTGAATTATAAATAGAGTGCTGCAACACTTGAATAAAATCAGTAGAAAAACATTCTCCTTCTTCAATTCTCAAGGGAGCTTTCAAGACTGAGGTGTACCTAAATGTTTAAGTAAAATTTTAAAAATGCAGAAAATTCAAAGCTCAAAAAAGTAATACTTTTTGATTATAAACCAAATTTAACTTTAAAAAAAAATGCATAGAAAAAACTTACATCCATTTCTCTATAAAATATACCCAAATTCTTGGACTCTTCTTGCTCTTCTGTGGAGGTGCTATCATAAGAAAAGGGAGCGCCTTAAATGCAAGAAAAGCTGCATCTTCTAAATAAAAATAAAAATAAATCAGGGAACAACTTGTATATACTTATAAACCTTTATAGGTAGATTATAAAAAAACCTTCTTTTGGATTAAAAGGGTATATTACATAAGGAACTAATAAATGAAATAAGATGAGAAAGAGAAACTTCGCACTTTTGCAGATTGGCACATAGTCAAGTTGCAGCAGCTTAGTACTTATGCAGATTGACAATTATGTTGTAAAATTTCTTATTTAAGTTATAAAGTTCTTATTTATTCATTCTCCCCACTTAGGGTAGTAGACATATATATACCTCCATTATATTAGTCTTCTGACAAAGTATTTTTGAACATTGAATCTCTCGCTAGTAACAAAATGTTTTGTTTGCAAGTGTTAAAGCCATCATGCAATGTAATATTACTTGATACCTCTTCAATAAAATGAAACTATCTTTGAAATTCCCTCATAAGTTTCACATCTAGGAGGGCCCATGTTGCATGTTTCAGAAGTTACAAAAAGAGAATTTTTTTCTAATTGTTTATCTTGTTTATATAAAAAACTTGAAAACTTGAGTGACTCATTGCAATGTATAACACTACTTTCAAACTTACTCTTAAACATTAATAGAGTGGAATCTGCTCTAATGTCATTGAAAACTGATAAAGCAGCATTACCAATATCATCGCTCAAAATAACAACCGATCAATGATCAGCAATGTCTAAAGAAATTTCAAAAAATTCAAGGAAAACCTTTTTTTGTGAAATAATTACATTTGATTGGCAAGCTTTGAAAAACTATTTGAGCACTGCAATATAGGAAACTAATGATTATGAAATTACTGTTAACAGAAACAATTACTTCAGGTATAATGTAATAAGGAACACTGCTGCTTGTTTACAATGAAGAAACTAACAAAGGATCAATATATTCTATTGTTTTTTCAGGTTAAGTGTAAACTTCATAAGTAGAATTCTCTGGGAAACTAGGCAATGAATATTCTGAAAAATTA